TTTGTGGTAAAATTAGGTACCTCGGCTTATATTCGGGTCGGCTTATACTCGAGTATATACGGTATGTGGCCAAGTGCAGAGTACTGGCCATGTGGATCCTACTATACAGGCTCTGCCTGAACACTAACCATTCTTGGCAGAGACTAAATGATAGTTGCCACACTGCAGGTCATCAGACTGGAAACAGAGGGCACAACATAGAAAATTTGATGTGTCAAAATTAACTTTACACTTCATGAGGGCTACCCCTGAACACCACTGGCAGCTGAAAAATTTTACTTACCCCCATAAATGTGTTTAGTGCTAGCGCAAGGTTCAGTAAACCTAACCCACTTTTATACTGTAGCACTAAATTATAATTTTTACAAACAATTCATATGTTCTATACCTGTACCACTAAAGAGAACTAGGCTAGTGCTACTCACTTAATAGATGAACAGCCCATCTGATGTTTGTTCAGGACTTCCCATTCAGAAAAGAAGCTATTAAAAGTAAAAGTATGTGAATCAAAATACAAAACGTACATACTTATCAATCTGATGCTGCAGCTATCCCCTGCCAGATCTAAGCCCAAGAACTGAGCAATCACATGACCACTGATCACTCAGTTCTTGGTGTGCTCTGAGTAGAGTGTAGTGACAGAGTCAACACTCTCTGCTCTGTCTCAACAGTGCTCACTGGAGCACTTGACTGGAGTGGGGGCAAGCACAGCTGGCTCCAGCTTTCAGCCACATGCTGAGAGCTACAGCCAGTAGGCAATTAGCAGGTGGGGGGATCCCGACAAATGGTCGGGATCCTTCTAGAGCCTGGAGTGGCTCTATGATGTCAGCTGATTCTGGGTCACAGGAGTGCAGAAGTAAGTGCACTCCTGCACCCATAAGAGAAGTACGACCAAAAATAGCATTGGCTATACTTCTCTTTTAACACAGTATTCAATTTCTTTTAACCACTTGCCCTCTGGAAGATTTACCACCCCCCCCCCCCCTCTTCATGACCAGGACATTTTTTGCTGTTCGGCACTGCGTCATTTCAACTGCTAAATACGCGGGCATGTAATTCTTTACCCAAACAAAATGTATGTCCTTTTTTCACACAAATAAGAGCTTTCGTTTGGTAATATTTGATCAGCTCTGCGGTTTTTACTTTTTGTACGATAAATAAAAAAATACCGAAAATTAAAAAAAAAAAAAAAAAAAAAAAAAGATATTTTTCACTTTGGGTTATAAAAAAATATCCAATAAACTCAAAAGTTATTCATAAATTTAGGCCAAAATGTATTCTGCTACGTCTTTGGTAAAAAAAATCCCAATACATTTATATTAATTGGTTTGTGTGAAAGTTATAGCGTCTACAAAACTATGGTGTATATATATATATATATTGGAATTTACACAGCTTTTACTTTCTGACTGCCTATCACATTTCGTGAGGTGCTAAATGCCAGGGCAGTACAACCCCTTCCCCCATATTACCCCTTTTTGGAAAGTAGACACCCCAAACATTTTGCAGAGAGGCAATTTGGGTCCATGGAACATTTTTTTTGCCACAAATTTTTTGAAAATAAGTTTTTTTTTGTTTTTTTTACACACAAAGTTGTCATTTAAATGATGTATTGCTCATGCATGCCATGGGTACATGTGGAATAACACTCCAAAACACATTCTCCTACTTCTCCCACGTATGGGGATACTACATGTGAGAGACTTTGGCAGACTAGCTACATACAGGCCCCCAAAATCCAATGACCACCAAGATCGGTGTGATCAGATGCTGTCCCAATTTAAAAATGGCACTGTTAAAGTATGGCGAAACGGAAATGATGAAATGCTTGTAGCTTCCGGTCTCTTAGACCATAGAGATTATTGGAGCCATTCTAGTCTCTGATCAGCTCTATTGTCAGCCAGCGGAACTACAGGCTGCATTCTCAGATTCCCCTGTGGGACAGGGGAGGAAAGGTCCCTTCCCGCTGCTTGTAAAAACGATTCAACAGCTAATTGGCTACTATGATTGCTTTTACATGAAAGCAGATTGTCAGCTGAAGACATCATGCTGGTATAACCAAAGTCCAGCGACGTACCGGTACATTGCTGGTCCATGTTGGGCATACATGTAACAGCAAGAACACAGGCATATGATGAATCGGGTCTGTGGACCAACATAACTGCAATTCAATCTTTTTTGTCATGCCCATGTTGATGGTTAGGCCCAAAAAAGTTTTAAATTCAGAAACCATGATAAGTTTTCAATGCGAATTGTCTGGCAAGAGCTGAATTTGTGCGTACGGCGATGTGTTGTGTTGTTGCGCGTATACATTGCTTTGGCCCATAATCAATTGATACAAATCTTCCATGAAAAACAAAGGGGCTAAATGCTAGTGCTGGCAGCGAAGGGGGCCGATCCTGCTAACACTGCGTTTTTGGGGACACTATACAAAGCAGGCACTAGTATAGTTCTGTTCATGATCATTATATTGATCTGTACAAACACTATACTAGTAATGGCAATGATCAGCAACCTATAGGATGAGCGTGATAGTGTGCAGGCAATCGAACACTAGCTGTCCCTGGCTGGGAGGGGCGCTAACTGACCCTGGCGCTATCTGATGTCGTTAGAGGCAGGAATACAGTGATCAATGAAAAATTCTATACACTGACACTGTACTAATGGCACTGGCTGAGTGAGGAGGCGATCAAAGGGTTAAATGTGCTAATCGTGCGTGCGTGCGTAAAACGTAGTTCTTTTACTTGGTGGTGTTCTCGCTTCTCCCCTGGGATGGGGGACGCAGGAGCATTCACACCCCGAAATAGAAAGTGACGCAAGATTACGTAGCTTTGCCCAGAACCGCTGCTTCCCAGCAAAATGCGGATAAGTATTTGGCAAGTAGTTAAAATGGTTTAAAGAAACCCTAAAAAGGTTTCTTTTTTTAAATTCTCAATATGGTATTTATTTATTATTAATTTATTTTTAAATACTTTATCAGATTAGTACAATGTTACCATAGTAACATTGTACTAATATGGGGGGGTGATCAGGGATTTTTTTTTTTTTTTTAAATACACACTTTGCTTTGCATAGCGATCACATGATCACAGAGTCCTGTTCACCAGGATCTTTATTCCACTGTGTCTGCCAGACACAGCAGTTGAGGGTGGGGAGCGCCCCCATGGTAGATCAGCCAGAGCAACGTACCTGTACGTCGCTTTGCCTGTAGCTGCCGCCCGTCCACAATACATTGCGGGAAGCAATTAAACACTATGTTCAGATACGTTTATCTTTCAACTTTTGTGTAGACAAAAATAGCCATTTATAGTGTTCTTTAATTGTGTGGAGACTATAAACTGTGTGCAGAAAAAAAAAGAAGTATCTTCCCACAGGATCATACATAATTTTTAATTTTCCTGCTTTATTTCTAAATACACTGCACAGCCAAAAATATTTAGATTCTTCTACAACTAAACAATACATCCCCCATTTTTTCTAAATGTGTTAAATGTTTCACTGCAAATAGTAATCTGACTATTTTGCAATGTTTAGTTTAACCGCTTCCTATAAAAGAATGACAGTTGAGTGTGAGCGCTGCCATCCTTGGTGGATGTCACATGATGTTCTCCCAGGATCACGCCCCACAGGTCGTGCTGCAACATCAACTGTCACCAGCTGTGTCCACCAGATACAGTGAATGACAAATCTGTGTACCGGGCCGCTGCCGGTACCATGTTATTACTGTGACCAATCACAGCAGATCACGTGGCAATTGTACACAATGAATGGCATCCATTTATAGTGTAATATTGTGTTCTCTGTGACTGGTCACGGTGTTGCATTTGATATAAACATATGTCTGTTTTATGATTTTTTTTTTTTCTCACTTTGAATGTTTGAGTGGACATCCCAAACGAATGCCTTGGTTACCAATTATACAAGCTCTCTTCTACAACAATGAGAACTTAGATACCACCATTTTATGTTGGGCTCTCCTATTGTTCTACATTTAATTATGTAACTGAAATTAAATCAATGGTTAATAATAGCTTGACCTTATGACATACAGTACTCAGCATAAATGAGTACACCCCAACAGATTTGTCAGAAAACCTTTGCTTTACTTTCAGAATCAACATTTTCTATGGGACATTATACTACAAATTACTCCCACAAATGCGGGCCATTGATTGCAACCAAGATTTGTTAATTTGCACACACAAAAAAGTATTTTCCTAACAAATTAATTCAAGACCATGTTGCAAAACTGAACACACCTCAATGAAAGTCTTATGCGCAAGCTAAATTTCAGACAACAAAATCCTAATTAACAAGAATTCAACTACAGATGAGTTTAGTTATTCATTAAACAGGTGTGCAGCAGACAGTTGATTATAAAAGGTTGTTAATTAAAGAAAACATCCTTCCTATTTCATGCTGTCAGCAATGGCAACACATGGAAGAGAAATGTCAATGACACAAAAATTTAACAATGATGGAACTGCAACCATCTCACAGAGACATCCAGGCCATCCAGGGAAGTTTAACACCTTGACATGAGTGTCTTCTGATAATAAGGGTTGAAGAAAAGCACTATGCAAGTTCACTGCAGTTAGCCAAAGTTGTAGAAAGCCAAACTGGGGTGATCGTTTCCCATGACACAATACGGCGTACAATGTAGAGGGATGGCATGCATGGGTGTCGTTCACAAAAGAAGCTTCTCCTAAAGCCCATGCAAAAAAAACCTCCCTACCTGTTGCTAGGGCCCATGCTGAAAAAGAAGAAGACTACTGGGACTCTGGAGTGATGAGGCCAAGATAAATGTTTTTGGAACTGATGGTTTCAAAACTGTATGGCGATGCAAAGGTGAATGGTACAAAGAAAGATGCATGGTGCCTACAGTGAAACAGGTGGTGTCTGGGAGCTGCATTTCATTGGTATCATTAATTCACAGATGTACTGCTCTATATTGAAAGAGAAGATGCTACCATCACTCCATGCCCTTGGTCGTCGTGCACTTTTCCATCATGAAAATGACCCAAAACACACATTTAAGGCCACTGTTGCATTTCTGAAGAAGAACAGGGTGAACATGATTCAGTGGCCAAGTATATCTCCTGATCTGAACCCAATCGAACACCTATGGGGAATTCTGAAGAGACAAGTTGAGCATCACTCTCCATCCAGCCTCTAAAAGAGGTCGTTCTTGAAGAATGGAAAAAGATAGATGTTGCAATATGTCACCAATTTGTTCATTCCATGCAAAGAAGACTTGGTGCTGTCCTTACAAATCATGGAAGGCATACAAAATACTAGATGTAGTAGCTTTTGTTGTGGGATGTATTCATTTTTGCATCAACTAATTTGAGTAAAACTGAAGATTTTGTAATCTAAGTTATATTATTAACCTTATTTTCATGTAATGAGCTAAACATTCTATAAAAATCAGTTTTGTCAAAATTTTGGAAATTGTTCTTGTGTTCATTGAGATATTGATTAAAATCTTACTTTTCAAAAGGAAGTATACTCATTTATGCTGAGCACTGTATATGAACTATGGCATGTATGATACAACAATGCCATCTAGGAGGTTGAATTGGAGAATGTTTCTCCCATTGAAACACAGCATTGCAAAAGGAGCCACACCCACGTGGGATGGTAAACCTTTGCAAATACAACAGCCAACAGCAGAAACTGGAAAGGAGGACTCTATGATGACTTAACACCATGAAGATCTCAGCCAGAACCTGTAGATGCTTTTAGCTCAATCTCTTGCAACTGTTTTAGAGCAAACCTGGGGTCTGCATTGCCTATGGAGATTGTGAAGCCTCTATAAATCGGAGCCAATTAACATTTGCTATTGTATACAGAACATAGTTTTGCTAGGAAGTAGGTAGCATTTAAAAGATGGTTGTTTAGAACAGTGAATGTCAATTATATGCAATTATAGTGTGTAAAAAAAAAAAAAAATCCTGATCACCTCCCCAGAGTAATACAGTATCACTATGGCAACACCATGGGCAGACTGACCATTTGGAAACTCGGGCACTGCCCGAGGGCCTGGGGTCAGTAGGGGACCCCATGAGATGCCCCTGGTACTTTTTTCATAGGCTTTTTTGAGCAAGGACACAGGGGCCCCATGATCCCCTATTGCCTGGGGGTCCCATGAGTTGTCAGTCCACCCCTGGGTAACACTGTACTGCTCTGGTCACAGAATATTAAATATCTTTTTTTAATATACTGTCACCAGTCAGTGTCTCTGTCCCTGAACTCACCATGCCTCTAGTAAATACCTCAGACTGTCTACTTTCCAAAAAGAGGTAATTTGGGGAGTATTTGTAATGTCCTTGCATATTTCAGGCCTCAAGAAATGAGACAGGCCGCTAGTACATCAGAACAGATTGATTTTCAAATATATACACCCTAGTTTGTAGACTAACTTTTTTATAACAGCAAAAGAAAAAGCATTTTTTTTCCCCCTTCAAAATTATTGGGCTTTCTTCATTTATTTAGAAAAAAAAAAATAACCCAGTGGTAAATAAAAATCCCATTAAAAAAAAAGCTCTATTTGTGTGAAAAAAATGCTAAACATTTCATTTGGGTACAGTGTTGCATGACTGAGTAACTGGCATTCAAAGTGTGAAAGCACTGAAAGCTGGCCTGGGCAGGAAGGGGGTAAAAGTGTCCGGTATTGAGGTGGTTAAAGAGTCAACTATCAACAGTGTTAGTATATGACCCTCAAGGCCTGGCCTCAAATCATCAACAATCCTGCCCTTGCACAGCTTTAAAAGTCCATCTCGGGGCAAAAAAAACTCTCTTCCCCACCCTTCCTGTGTTTTCCTATTCCCATACCTTACCCCATGTCACACCAGTAGAAGAGGTAGGCTTTTTTGGGTGCTGGAGGAATGGGGGAGCAACCTTAAAGTTGAACTGTGAATTTTTATATTACATTGATTCAGGTTACAAGAGGAGCAAGACATAAGCTGCTGCAACCAAGGAGGTTTCTCCAACGCACCAGTCCAGCATCAAGTTGAACCTGTGGCTCTGTTCAGGAATGCATTTTTTCATAAATGCATACAGAAAATCCAATTAGCCACTGGCAAAATAAAAAGCTTCCAGCCCTTGGAAGTTACTTCCCAGCCCCTAGTGCACAAATATAGAAAAAGCAAGGATATTTGGCTCAAAGTTGGGACATGTCACTCTAGCGATCCTTATGAGTTGCCAGCAGAATTACTTGCGTCCAGTCCATAGGTTGCAGCTTAAGTGCAGTGCATATTGCATGCATTACTATTGAATTCTATTGAACAAATTTAATGAAAGCGCAACAAAGCTGCAGCAAGCACACAATTAAATCTCGCCTGCCAAACCAGTGAAGTTTTGCTGCTCTCTCACCAGCAAGCAATACTCTGCTGCATTTGAACCAGTTGAGGTATAGCTGCTGTAGGAGCAGGTGAATGCTCTAATAAGCCTGATGCTACATACAGTGCTGACAGCAGACTCATCAATTAGTAAAGGAAATAGTCTGGGTCAGATAGGCCCAAAGAAACAATTTAAAGTGAAAGTAAACCTGAAGTTTGGCTTTAAGAGTCCAAAATATACGTTTATTTCCTCATAGAAAAAAAATCGGCATTGACTTTATAAGGAAATAAAACATATCTTTCGGGATGTATGGTGCTTCTGTATCCCCTAGACATTCAACTCTCTGGGCTGGACTGGGGCTGAGGGGACCCAGCAAGGGAGTAGAAGCTGGCCCATCTACACTCAGGCTAAGTTTTAAAAGTGTAAAAAGAAAAAAAAAAAAAACACATTAAAAGTATATTTCTCAAAATAGAGTGAATTTGACTTCAGTAGTCATATAACATTGATAATTATGTCAGACAAAATCTATAGCTCAGACTTTAGACGATCTGCTAAGTCCTCCTGGTCAATGTGCTCATCCTTTCCATACCATTGATGGTAAGATAAAAGAGCCACATTCTTGGCAGCGATGGCACTCATCTCCATGGCACTGGCTGCCCATTCAATGCTGTTCAGGTAATAAATTGCGCGATGAAGTTTTATTGGTGGTATTTTCTCTGGTGGGCTGTATCTCGGATAAGCCAACCAATTTCTCACTTTAACTGCATGGTAAGATTCAAAGAGCTGACGCAACTGTTGGTCAGTTAGGACATCCGGAGAGAAGATTTTCCAGACTCTGAGACCTGAAGCTTTTGACGTGTCAGATTCTGGGACTGGATTGACTGGAGACACGGCTGAAATACTGCGTATAAAAAGTTTGGGGCTATCTGTAGTTAATATTTCTGATAATGGAAACTGACATGGTTTGGAGCATCCAAAGAAGGAAGCATTGATCCGTCCATGAACAAACGTGGCCACCGTCTGCTGGTAAGGTCCGGAAGAGGTTTCAATTGGCGGTTCAAAGCCCACAAACTCTATGTTACCAAGATTCTTGTTGAGTGGTGTTGCAATGATTACAATGTCATACAAGTCCAACCCAGGTCCTCTGTCTGTTACGTAGCCTATTTCGTACAACTTCACTGTATTTCCTGCAATGTCCCCAAAAAAACAAAAATGAATTAATAAACATATATATCAGATTGTGCAGCACTACTCCTTAATGTACATAACAAATGTTGTGAGATACAAATATCTATAAAATGTAGTGTAAATCAATCTTCAAAGAATTTCCACCAAAATGCACATGAAAAAGTTCAATCTCCAGTACAATAGTGAACTTGAAACCATTGGCACTTTTCACTAACCCGATATGATCCTCTCCCAACACAAAGCAATTGTGCTTGTAATTCTGCTCACCTTAATTATAACCTCCAAATTATAGGAGGTTTAACGGCACCAACATCATTGCAATTCGGCTCTCAGTAGTGGCAAGGGAAACCCTCACAATTTAATCTCACATGCGTCCATCAAGTCCGCTCCAATATAAGGCAAAAGATCCTCAAAGCAATAATATATCTAGTGCTCTCTATAAAGATCTTTATTACTCGTAAAAATAAAATGTACATACTCCAAAATAAAACACTTGTAGGCTGAGAAATCATGCCTAAAACCTGGATCTGCTTTTTTAATGATCTGGATTAGGAGAGAACAAACGCCGCATGTGGCCATATGTGATTACGTCACTCCGTAACTTTGTCCTGATGCACTGCGTCCCTGGTAGGGGACTACTTTAGAGGGTCCTCTGAAGAAGTCCTCTCCCAGGGTTGCAACGTGTTAGGGTAGAGTTAAGGAGTGACATCATCAATCATGGGTGCACTTGGCTTACCTTCTGAGTGGCAGCTTGTTTGTTCTATCCCATCCTGATCATCAAGCGGATGCAGATTTTTTTAGGCTCTCTGATCCTTGCATTTATGTCTGAGCGAATCTTCTGCAGGAAACATACCTGTCATCACTGGACCCTACAGAACTGGTTGGAGTGGTCATGGATATCCATCTAGCAGTTTTTGACCTGTATGGTACGAGGTGGTATCAAAAAGTTTCAAGACTAGTTTTGTAACACACCAACAGATGGCAGCACGAGATGGCATGCACAGTTACAGGGAACACCGACCTTCATATGTAAGTGTGCCAAAAGGCATCGACCTATGTACCTGAGCAAATGTGAAATTCTGTGTGAAACTGGGCAAATCTGCCACAGAGACTTTTGACATGATTTGACAAGTTTACGGCAATGCTGAATTGAGTCATTTGAAGTGTTTTGAGTGGCACACGTGCATCAAGAGCAGAAGAACATCAGTGGAAGATGAGAGATCAGGAAGGCCTTCAAAGAGCTCATTTCCTGAAAACGTCAAAACCATTTGGCAACTTGTGCATGATGATCATGGAGAACAATCCACAACATTGCTGCTATTGTTGATGGGTCATATGGAATAGTCCAGGCAATCCTCACATGCGATTTGAACATGTGCCGTGTTGCTGCCTAGCTTGTCCCCAGGCTGCGATTATCTCACTTCCACACCCAGCCTACTCGCCCAATTTGGCTCCTGTGGACTTCGCCCTCTTCCAGAAGATGAAGATCCAGCTCAAAGGTCATCATTTTGACAACACTGCGGAGATCCTGCGTGAACAGCAGGTGCTTGACACGATTCAAAAAGAAGACTTCCAGGAAACAGTCTAGAAGTGGCAGGAACGCTGGGAGTGCTGTATTGCTGTGCAAGGGGAGTATTTTGAATGTGACTTGTGTAAAACGAAGAGAAGAGTACTTTCTTGTAAACAGAGCTAGACTGGAAACTTTGTGATACCACCTCGTCTATAAGTCAAAAGGAGGAGGTGAGCGTGCACACCTGTTGGTAGATGAGCACCGTGGTGAAAAATATTGTGAAGAGTCACTTTATAAAATGTGGGGACCGAAGTAAAAAACGTACATGCTGCATTATCTGGAAATTCACATTATGGACTGAAATTTATGCTTGTGATTTTTTTTTCAACTACATATAAATTTTTTACACTTTTTTTTTACCCAGTGCATTTGGTCAGCCGGGTGTTTACTAGATATATAAATTTACTTTATATTTGGATTATCCTATTACAGATACTATTGGAGTTTGTATACTCACTTGCATTTATTATTGTGCACATTTATTACTGGGAAGGTTATTTGCATTTGGGTTGGATGGTTTGTCGGGTGTTTGCTGAGTATTGTTCACATATTTCTATGTGAATTATTACACGCTTGGCTTATTTATTGTGTTAATTTTGCACTAGTTTGTTACTTGTATGTTCACATATTGTTGAAGGCTGTTACTGAGATTTATTTGGCAGTGCACACTACACATTTTTATTTATTCTATTCTGTATGTGGGAACACATTTAGGTGTGGGCAGCAACTCTTGGTTTGTGTTTGCCATTTTTTGGCAGCGCATGAGTTTCTCTTCTTGATTTTATACGCATTTCTAAAATTCTGTCATTATAAGGTACAGAGTGTAGATTAAAAGAGAAGTACAGCGAAAGCTCTTTGGCTGTACTCCTCCTGTGACCAGTTTTCAGCGGACGAAGGACCAAAGCCTGCTGATGTCACAGAGCCAGTCCAGGCTGGAGAAAAATCATGACCATATGGCTGGAATCCACCCAGCAGCCTGGACCGGAACCTGGCTCAGCCTCTCGGTGAGCTGCCGAGAGTCTGAGCCAGCCGCTCCCGTCCGGTCTACACAGCCCAGCACTCCAGTGATTAGCAATGTCTGATCGCGGCGAGTAACAGATGCAGCATTGGCGAGTAGGATTTAAAAAGAAAAAAAAAAAACACTCCATCACACACACCTCTTAATGAGAAAAAAAAAAAACATACTTACCTGTTTTTCTAGTACATCACAGGACACAGAGCAGGCTATTCTTATTATATGCCAACTGTAAAACCCATTTTAGATTAGCCTTGGAGTACTTCAGTTTTACATCAAGGAAATTCCCGAAAGAGGGGTGGGACCTCTGTCAGATGTACAAGAAATTGAAAACAGGTCCAATTTTCTTTATCGTACATAATACAGAGCAGGCAATTCATAACTATGTGGGATGTTCCAAAGCAATTAAAGAAATGTTGAGGGGAGGGTGACACCATGATAGCCACCACCAACAATCCCACAAGACCTACTCAGCCGTTCGCAAGACACTGTGGCCAAAAGAAGGATTCCTCTGCATCTCTGGTAGAACCTTGTGAATGTGTGAACCAAAGCCCATGTAGCGGCCTTGCAAACCTGAGCAACTGACACCTGATGATGGATCACCCAAGATGCCCCCACAATCCTGGTAGAATGTGCTCTCACCCAAAATGGTGGGACCTTATCCTTCAAACCATAGGTTTCAATGATTAACTGGCAGATCCAATGAGAAATAGTTGACAACTGCCCATTCTGGGACCTTCTGGCAGCACAAACTAGGCCTCCTGACTTGTTCCGGCAAACTCAAGTAAATCCTGACCGTCCAAATACATTCAGAGTGTACAGTGATCTTTACCCTGCCAACTGTGGACTAAGAAAATAAGAAAGGCAAGACACCGTCCTGATTTAAGTGAAAATTAAAGAACAATCTAGTAAGTAGATGGATGAGGACGCAACATCACATCATCTTGCAAGACCAAGAACGTCTCCCTACATGAAAGAGCCGCCAGCTTACACTCTTCCTGCTGAAATGACAATAAACAAAGAAGCCACCTTCCCGAGTCAAAAGATTACATTTCTTTAATTGGTTCAAAAGGTGGCCTCCGCAAGAACAGCCAAGATCAAGTAGAAGTCCCAAGGACACCAGGGTGGCCTGACAGACAGGACCATCCGTGTTACATCCTGTACGAAAAAAAAATGAAGGAACACTTTGAAAACACATCAGACCTCAATGGGGAAAAATATCATGCTGGATATCTATACTGATATGGACTGGGTAATGTGTTAGGAGCGTAAGAATGCTCCATCGTTTGATGGAAATGATCAGCCTACAAAGGACTGAATTCAAAAGACCCACCGAAAATCAAAACGGAAAAAATGATGCAGCAGGCTAGTCCATTTTGCTGAAATTTCACTGCAGCAGCTCATAATGGTACTCAGTAGTCCGTATGGCCCCCACGTGCTTGTATGCATGCTTGACAATGTCTGGGAATGCTCCTAATTAGATGACAGATGGTGTCCTGGGGTATTTCCTCCCAGATCAGGACCAGGGCATCACTGAGCTCCTGGACAGTCTGAGGTGCAACTTGGCAGCATCAGATGGACTGAAACATAATATCCCAGAGATGTTCTATTGGATTTGGGTCAAGCGAGCGTGGGGGCCATTCAATGGTATCAATTTCTTCATCCTCCAGGAACTGCCTGTATACTCTCACCACATGAGGCCGGGCACTGTTGTGCACCAGGAGGAACCCAGAACCCACTGCACCAGCGTAGGGTCTGACAATGGGTCCAAGGATTTCATCCCAATACTTAATGGCAGTCAGCGTGCCATTGTCTAGCCTGTAGAGGTCTGTGCCCCCCTCCATGGATATGCCTCCCCAGACCATCACTGACCCACCACCAAGATGGTCATGCTGAACAATGTTACAGGTAACAATGTTCTCCACAGCTTCTCCAGATCCTTTCACATCTGAAGGGTGAACCTGCTCCCATCTGTGAAAAGCACAGAGCACCAGTGGCAGACCTGCTAATTCTGATGTTCAATGGCAGATGCCAAATCGAGCTCTATGGTGCCGGACAGTAAGCACAGGGCCCACTAGAGGGTGTCGGCCCTCAGGCCACCCTCATAAGTCTGTTTCTGATTGCTTGGTCAGAGACAATTCACACCAGTGGCCTGCTGGAGGTAATTTTTTAGGGTTCTGGCAGTGCTCATCCTGTTCCTCCTTGCACAAAAGGAGCAAATATGGGTCCTGCTGATAGGTTAATGTCAGGAATGGACTGGCCAGCAATAGTGGGACTCACCTGCCTTATGAGCTGCAGTACCAGGGCTGGCCAGCGGGTGCTCCCAGCAATCAGAGACTCAACCTTGCAGCCAGTCAAACACCTGGAACTAATTATACTGGTGTATTTATGTATTTAAGGGACATTCAGACCTGCAGACTCGGCCTTGGTGTTGTGTTTCTCCTGGGCCCTGTTTCCTGTTCCTGTTCCTGTTCCTGTCTGATTCTCTGCTGACCCTGCTCTGATCCCTGGCTTGTCTGACCATTCTCCTGCTCCTGATCCCTGGCTTGTCTGAACATTCTCCTCTGCCTGACCCTCTGTACCACGCTGCCCGCTACCTGCTGAACCTGGCTTGTGACCCCGACCATTCTCCGCTTGCTCCCCCTGTACCTACCTGCCCGATTGATATTGTCCCGGCCTGCCTGACGACGCTTGCATTGTATGTACTGTTATCTGTGGGTGGTTGGTTTGGTTTGTTTGCACTGTGTTATGTTTTAGTATTGCACTGCGTTTATGTTTGTATTGTTAGTGTTAATAAATTATATTTATAACATATCTGAAGTCTGCGTTTCCCTGCGTCAGTCACATACCTCTGGTCACACCTCGGAGCCCTGACAGTTAAGAACCTTCTACAGCCCTGTCCAGCTCTCCTGGAGTAACTGCCTGTTCCCTGGAATCTCCTCCATGCTCGAGACTGTGCTGGGAGACACAGCAAACCTTCTGGCAATGGCATGTATTGATGTGCCATCCTGGAGGAGTTGGACTGCCTGTGCAACCTCTGTAGGGTCCAGGTATCGCCTCATGCTACCAGTAGTGACATTAACCCTAGGCAAATGCAAAACTAGTGAAAAACAGAAAAGATGAGTAGGGGAAAAAAATGTTGATGGCCTCACCTGTAAAACCATTCCTGTTTTGGGGGTCGTCTCATTGTTGCCCATCTAGTGCACCTGTTGTTAATTTCATTAACACCAAAAGCAGCTGAAATGGATTAACAATCCCCTCTGCTACTTAACTGGCCAGATCAATATCCCAGGAGTTTAATTGACTTAATGCTATACTCTGATTAAAAAGTGTTCCTTTAATTTTTTGAGCAGTGTACAAATCAAGGGAGTGAGAAATAATGATCTCTGGGAAAATAAAATAGATAAGAGCTAAAATCTGACCCTAAATGGCACCTAAGGCCATTTCCCCTCCTGATAGGAAAAAGGAAAAGGCTTCAAGCCAGGCAAATAAGATTTATAGTTCTTGTAATGGAAGCTCCCTCAAGCCGGCTTTCTGGCGCTCAACAGTGCGGAAAAACAGGAACCATAACCCCCCCCCTAATCTTTGCAGACCTGGGCTTCAAAAGCCCAGCCTTCAATCCTAGCTATCAAAGCAGGATACGTTATTGGACCCGAGACAATAGGTCTGGGCAGACTGGAAGTGACCAAGGAGCGTCCCCTGCCAAATACACTACGTCGGTGTACCAAGCCCTCCTGGGCTAGGCAGTCATTGGGATTCCTGACATGGACACAACCTAACCTGTCTTAACTTATTGTAAAACCTGTAAATCTTTAGATCCATATCCAGAGTTCCCCAGTGCTGGCAGATTGCCTAGAATGTCTCGGGGTGCAGGGACCACCCTACCGGTATCAGCTGCTGACGGCTAGGGAAAAACCCCTTGCCACTTTCCTATACCTGGAATATGTACTGTCAACAGAGACGGCACATGCTGTTCTGCCCCAGACAATGTGGTGCATTTGTTTCTGAATAGCATGACCGTGATCCCAGTGGTATGGCAGATAAAAGAGGGGAGGGGTTGGCTATGTCACTCAGCGGACGGGCTGAGAGGGTCTAGCTGCAAGTGAATTGGACAGAAGCCTTTAGCCAGGAGAAGGAAACCCCTGCCCAGATAGTGGAGCTGAATCTGCCAACAAGAATAGGACACTGGACACCCTCTCCACCCATCCTCTTGCAGTAGCCTCTCACGATCGCAGATCGGATCCATTCGCATGTATGTAGCGGACACTGCTGCAAGCCTTTAAACGGCTCCTGTCACTTCTGCCGGGATAGGGGCCCAAAACAGCAAATATGCCCGAGTGCAGCTTGTTCTTTTGAAAAACAGACTTTCTGGCCAGATTACCAGATATAAATAAAAGAAATAAAGCCTAATTAGAAAAAATTATAAGGCAGCCACCACATCTAAGATTCGGTAAGCTGCCATATAACAACGGTTTTCTTTTCGGTTTAACCCTTTCGCTGCCACGGCCATTTTTTTGCACACATTTAAACAATAATTTTAGATTACACAAAACCCCCAAACATTATATATTTTCTGAAAGCAGATACCATAGAGAATAAAATAGTGGTAGTTCCAATTTCTATGCCACGATATTATATCAAAGAAAAAATCAATTTAGCGTTATGGAGGACACCGGAATCAGGGGCTGAGAAAACAATTGGCGGCAGCAGAACAGCCTGACTGCTTCCTGCCTGTCAGTTTTAAACACAATGCCGGTGGCTGCAGCCACTGGATTGTGTATAAAGCCCCCTGCTGTCAGGTCCATATGGCGTACAGACCTGGCAGCAAAAGGGTTAATGCCACTTATTTTAGGCCATTTCCACACCTGAGCTTATGGGGTTCATACTGAATTGTTAGCAGACAACAGACAATAGAATGTTTTTGAGCATGGGACGGTTTTGCGTACTGATCTCCCAACATGCAGAGTTAGATCACCCATGCATGTATGTTGATTGCTATGCAGGTGCATAGGGAAACAAACTTACCTCCGTCACTAACATCTCAGAGTTTCCCCTGGAAAATTGGCAATCACGTAAAAATCCAACAAAGCTATTCGCTACACCCCAAGATCAGTCATTTAGGATGTGCCTATTAACATAGGTATTCTTTCCTGTCATGTGAGGAGGACAATATCAAACCTTTCTTGAGCTCCAGCACCATTTGTCGCAGAGCTTACACAACAAAGCAGAGAGTAGTCAAGGCGAATACAAGTGACTCGAGAAGCAGGGTAGAGGTATTAATCCTTTCAAGAGACTTGTCAAATTGCTATGAAAAGGGCAAAATTAAAAGAACCTCCTTAATGATAATGGTAATTATTTCAAAGGAATATTGTTTGTGCTGGCTTATAATTATAGCAAGTTTATCACAAATTCAAAAATGGGCACGTACTTGTCATGTGCACAATCGAAGTAAAAGAGAACAATATTTTGCTCCCAAGTCAGCGATTAGTGATCACTGGGACATAGAATTACACGTTTGTAGTATTTCTGTTCTCGTGCCAGCTTGCTGTAACATGGACAATACTGAAGTATAAACGCACATGAACAGATTTATCTAAACTCTGTATCTGACATTATGCCAGTCCCACTCACCAGGCTTTGTAGAACGAAATTTCTCCTGTACAGAAGTGACAGTGCCCTGAATTAGCTGTGCTTTTGAAGCATATAGGAGGCCACTACAAACTAGTTTATTCCCACCAGCCACTGCCCACAGTCCAGAGTCCGTCCCAGCGAGAGAGACAGCACCTAGGGAAAAAAAAAAAAAAAAATGATGAACCGTGAACAGTGACAGTGTGACACAAAATTAACATTGGGCAAAACACAATCTAGTCTCATGTCGTAGACCTGTAGGCATCTTTACGAACAATGGACATGCACAGATATAGTCAGGAAGGTGGACATATTAAAGTGGTAAACTCTCCACATTTAAAATGTTACTAAACCCACAAGAGTAAAATCAGTCTGTATATGCAGTAAAGCATGCTTGTTATACTCACTGTGGAACCTAAGGGGTTAATCCTCTGCATTGTGTAAAAAGGCTATTTGATCCTGACGTCTCTGATCCTCCCCTTCTTCCAGTGGTCCCTTCTTATCTCCTTATAAGACATATCCTGTGGAGTCACTCTGCATGTGCTCAGTTTGGTGTGTATTGCTACAGTGTTTTTTTTTTTTTTTCTTGGGAGAGTGCAAGTGATCAGCACAGGGAAAATCAGCACTGTCCAGACAGAGGTCAGGGGTTCTGCATCCCCCTAGAGCAGAATGAAAAATCCTCCTACAAGCTTGTGCTACTGCTGAAGTCACAAGACTGCTCTAACTGCTGATGAGAAAAGGTATATAGCAGTTTGTATTTACTAAAATAATTGCACTTCCATGTTCTGTGTACTGTGGGAGACCAGATATATAGTGAATGGAGGCTCCTGGGTTTAATAACACTTTAAAGTATCAGTAAAAACTGTACAAAACTCTAGCAATACAATACTTTGCTTGTAATCTGTCCAGGTGATTTTGTTGACGTTACCAGCGGATGTGCATATTTCCCCTTGATTCACAGCACACTCTGTGTGCCCTCAGTCCATTCATAACTATGCTGTGGATCTGGCATCTCCTCTCTGCGGCACTGCGCCACAATTCCACGAGATTACAGTCCCATTCAGAAGTTCCAGGTACACCCCATGTGACTTTCAACATCACAGGGGGTGTAAACATCAGCATAGCATGGCACACAGGAGTAAAACAGGTCTGCTTTTAGTAATCCCAAAATGAAAACAAGGCTTGACTAAGAAATCAATGCACAAGAGTGAGATTACAGCAAGGCATAACAGAAAGGGCGGAAGTATAGTGCATTGCGGACTTTACTTAACATGGCGCAGGCTTATCCCAGGAAACAAAACTTAAAAACAGCTGAAAAAAAAAGTAAGAAACATGCAAATGGGGCTAATTATAATGTAGAATGTATTTGAATGCTTTATTAATAAGAAGCATTTGTGGGGCAGTGTTTACTAATGCTTTAACCTATAATTCAAAAATAACCAAATTAAAATAGTACCCTCTAGCCAATGATGTCCTCCTATGAAAATACTGTCCGTCTATCTCTGATTCCAGCCTTGAATGTATTACTCTAGAATAAGCATGCAACAATTAATATAAGAGTGACATCAGAATTAACATACATACTCATTCCAGGTCAATTACTTTATCCTCGGTGTAATCTTACAGCTGCAGGGAGCAGTGTTTTATTGGCACTGTGCAACCAACCACTACTCTTTCACTTATTTCAAAGCAGCACGATAAGGCCTCGTTTACACTTGCTTCAAAATGTGGCATTTGACACAATTTTTTAAAGCCCTCTGAATGCCAATCAAAGCATCTCTCACTAAATAAAATGGTTACCTTTTAGTCCTGTTCACACTGTTGTGTGCTTTGCTTCAAAAATTATACCCCATGTTATTTTCTTGGTGCTTCAAAGCATCTCCAAATCCTCATAGAAGTCTATCACAACCGTTGCCAACAGCACCTGAAGCCTTTGAGTGGTTTATTCAGAGTTAGCTTTGCTTTGTTTTTGGGAAGTATTGCACATAAGAGATATCCCAGGATGCACTGGGAAACCAACAAGGGAACTAGAAAGATTTCATCAGCAGTCACTTCTGGTTCATGTGTATATATTTTGAAAGTGTCTGGTAGAGACGTCACATATGGTGTACAGCGTGGAGCAACTAGCACACGGCACATGTGGTGGGCAACATGGGAACGCTATAGGGAGGGTGAGCGGGGAATAGAGAGAGGGGTCTCAGTGGCATAGGATCAGATGTCATGTGGTGCACAGCATGGAAACAATATAGCAGGAGGTGGCCGGGGATTGGAGAGAAAGGAGATTCAGTAAACCAGAGGATCAGCAGAGCTGGGGGTTACTACAGAACAGGGGATCTGCTAAACTGGGGTACTAATGAGCAGGGGATCTGCTAACTGGGGGTATTACTAAGCTGGGGGTACTACTGGGCCCCTTGAAAACAAATAGAAAAACACACACAGGGCATTTGCCAAGCTTCAAAAAAGCATATTGAAGCGGTAGGAACTTTAATGTGTGTTAAAAATTAAAGTGTAAAAGGGGCCCTAACACATACATACAAAAATGAATTGATTTTGATGTACAGCGACAATCTGAAAAACAGCTTCTGCTCTGCATTCCCCTAAAAAATGCCCAAAACTCCCAGATGACAACAGTGCCATCAGGTGCCACCATTACTAAATGTTTATTTGTAAAGTGTAAATAGTTTAAAATAATGAGCTTTTTAAAATTACATATAAAATTGACCCAAAACCATTGGAATTTCCCTTTCACCATATCAGTCAAGGGAAATATTTTAGTCCACTCTCCCTACTTCACATCTCTCTAGCTTTGTACAGAAACAGAAAAATCTTTCAACAGCATAACAGATGCTCACCAACAAAGCCATTAATCTTGACTCCTTGTCCGTAGTTGACTCTCATAGCTGGAACCACTATGTCATCAATAAACCTCTGTGTGAACCCAGATTTCTGCATTGCTTCATCTATGGTCATGTTCAGCTTTGATATGAAGTCATCCCCACCCATAGCATGCAGCAAAGATTCCGTGGTGGAGAAAGAATAATCAAACGTCTGATAGCGGTAAATCCTGCCAACAACAAAAAGCAAAACAAAATGATGCTGCACCCAATCACATTTTACATATAGAGCTGGAGAAAAAGTATGACAATTTTACCTTTACCAGCCTTTAAAGTGATATTAAAGCTTTTTATCAACAAACATGTTATCCTTACCTGCTCTGTGCAGTGGTTTTGCACAGAGCAGCTCTGATCCTTCTCTTTCCGGGTCCCCCGCCAGCCTGGCTCCTCCCCTCATGACCAGTGCCCCCAATAGCAAGCCGCTTGCTATAGAGGGCACTGGTGCGTTCTCTTTCTCGAGTCCCACTCTAGGAGTTTATAAGACACAGAGCCATAACAATTAAAGTGACGTCCTCAGTGGCTGTACAGCAACATCCAACTGTGAAGACTGCAAATTCTTGGGCGCCCGGTGATTGCCAAACTTCTCCAACGGGCGGGAGAACTGTTTGTAAACAAAAAACAGTTCTATCTCCTGCAAGCTCCTGCACACTGGTTTGCATGGCTGTGCATAGCAAAGCCATGCAAAGAAGTGTGCTTAAAGCGAAGCACAAACACACAGCCCCACAGGAAAAGCACACAGTTAACCCTTTGATCACTCCACATGTTAACACCTTCCTGCCCAGTGCCATTAGTACAGTGTCATTGCTTTTTATTAGCACTGATCACTGTAGCCATGTCACTGGGGATAACCCAAAATACACAAGACACTTAAGTTTACCTATTCTTAGATGCAGTGTCTGCATTACTGCCCCTTTTTCAGTCTTTGTCTCCCTTTCTTTTCCCCTGGTGATTATGACAGTAACATATTTCCTGTGCTAGGCTGATAAAGCTTGCTTCATGGCTCTGTATCTATGAAGAAGTGTTGTCTATAGAAAAAGGGCTAGGGCTACAAAGCATTACCCCCTCTATAATCTCCATAGTACAGGGAAAGGTGCTCTGTAGTTCAGAGAGAACTGAGACCAATGCTAATCCATAATAATACAGCTGAAACAGAGAGCACAGGACGGTCAATGCTCAACAGATATTTTTTAACTTTTCAAGTAGTTTAAACAAAAATGTATTTAATGGAACAAAAAGGGAGTAAACAAGTTAATTGTTAGGGGTTATGTATACTGCAACCAAACTACTATTTTGACTTCAGTTGAGAAAGGTAAACAGTCAGGACCATGTGTCTGGCAGGGGAGCCTGAATTAGAAATCTGGCAGAACAGAATTACAAATTTTGTTTGGCAGACAAGACAGTTTACATGTATTTCAATGGCATTTTACACTTATATGCAGTATAAACTACTTAGTTGATACTGCATTTTCTGTATAGATTGATAAATGGTTAATACATATGCCAGAGATAACTTAAGCCCTACACAGGGCATGAAGTAAATCAGCTGTGAGATTGAGGTTTTATATTTGGAACTTGTTTTACACAAGTTTTTAGTGGCCGCACCACCAAACTCTTGCCTCGACCGCAAAGGTCTAAAATATTTAATGTAAAATTAAATTCAGTAATATGAGGCGGCACAATGCAATTACAGGATCTAAGCACGTGTATAGGTAGGCCTACCAAAGTCTATATGAAAAAGAGTATAGCAGGATAGCAGGAACATTCATTATTCTTACTGACTCCTGACACCAGAATATATCTTATTATCATACAGGATTTATATGGTGCCAACAGTTTTTGCAGTGCTTTACAAAATAATAATAAATCCATATGCAGATCTTGAAACTAGCAAAGCGTAATTATTGCCACGTACCTCATGAACTTATCCAAAATATCTTCAACCCACATGTACATTCGAAGGAAATTCAGTCCATAATTCCATATCATTTTAATAATATTTATAAGAAACCATTCACTCTCTTGAAAAACAAACTCGTCACCATTGTAAATTCCCAGCAGATCTCCAGAAGGTGTGCGTGCATTCAGACCTGTAACAAATGCAGTGTGTTTGATCTAAGAAGGTACCAGTCTGTATGTGAACGGATAACTGGTACAGTCTGTAAGGCTGGCCATACATTATACAATTATCTGCAGATTTTCTGCCCAATTTCCTTTAGATTTACCTTCAACTATGTAGTGCAAGGGCCTGCCTAATTGGATACAACTGAAAGTGTTGTTTAGGTTTGTCCTCCTATTATATGGTTTTTGGTAAATCTAAACCAAAAATCTGCAGATAATTGTATAATGTATGGCCAGCCTTACTGACAGAACCAGATAAGGAGAAAGGCTGTATAACTCGGGTCTATAGAGGAATAGGGCTCATTCATAAGGGTGCTGAGGCCTATGTAACATGAACACTTTTTTTTTTCTTCCCAGTGTCAGCCAACTGGCTGAAGGGAAAAAAAAAAATTTAACAGGATTCTCCATCCACACAAATGAAGCGATGTGGGAATTCCCCCCCAACCAGGACATTGTATTCAGACAGTGGTACCCACAGCTGTATATACTGATCAGCAGCTGCAGATGCTGATCAGTGGAAACTTCCCAACATATCCTTCAACAGACGTTGATTAAACAATCAACATCTGTTGAATAGGCGAGCCCACACGCCTCAAAATTCGGTTGGTCCCTACTGAACCAAACAAATTTCGACCAGTGTATGACTAACTTTACTTGAAGGTTTGGATAAATAAAAGTGGAGCAAAAAGCCCTGTGACATTTATTTTACTGAGTGGGCTAAAGTCCTTGAAAAACTCTCCACATGCAGACAAGTCTCAGTCCCTAAGCCTAGGTTCACACTATTGTGTTTTGTGCCACATTTGCATGGGCATATCAGCCCATTCATTGGAAACCTCTGCAACTTTTTGAAAATGCAGTTACACGCAAACCATTTGCAGCTTTTAAACCCTGTGGCTTCATGCACCCAAAAACACGCTGCATTTCCTGATGTGTAGGGATACCATTAAGCATTATTGGCACCCGCATCTGCAAAAGAGCAGTGTGCATTGGCTTCGGTGCGGCATCGAGTGTGATTTACACACCGTCTTACAACCGCAACAGTGTGAACCTATCCTAAACCAAGAAGCTCTCTCCGATGTTTTGTTAAAGTGGATGTAAAGGCTCAAGGTTTTTACCTTCATGCATTCTATGGATGAAGGTAAAAACAACCTGTGTGCAGAAGTGCCCCCAGACCTCTCAATACTTACCTGAGCCCCATCGGGATCCAGCAATGTGCACAACAGCCTCGGCTGTCCCGGGTCTCTGCCTCTTCATTGGCTGAGACAGCAAATGGAAGCCATTGGCTCCCACTGCTGTCAATCACAGCCAGTCAGCCAACGAAGAGAAAGAGGGGCCAAACTGTGTGAATGGACGCACGGAGCAATGGCTTGGGAACACGCCTGCTCAGGTGCCCCCAGGTGCCAAGTATAACATGTTTGTTATTCCCCCCCCCCCCCCCTCCAAAAAAAAAAAAAAAGTAGTATCGCTTTAATTTCCAGTGGAAAAGCAGATGTTAAAGAAGGGTTCAACCATAAAAAATTTGGGATTAACTGACTACAAAAAATAACGCAAAACAATTTAATGAAAAATAAAATACATAAATCAAAGCACTAGTTTATAGGATCCCAATGTATGTAAAAGCATTAAAAAAATATAAACAAAACCCTGTTTGTGTCCATTCCTTCTCAGCACGTCAGAAATGAGGAACAAAGCTTCTAGCCTATGTTCCTAGTACTGTCTTAGTCATAATGACAATACCCAGATAACAGGCACAGATACAGAACAGCTCTCACTGACTTCTATAAAGCAGGGTATACGTATTGAAATTCAGCCAGTTCAGCAGGAACCAACCGAACTTCAACGTGTGTATATTTTTCTCTGTGAATGCTCCTGCGGAAAAAAACAGCATTCGTTCTGCAGAATGGATGCAGTGATGATTGGTGCATTCTGACAGAGTGAGCCCCCGCTGTCAGAATGCAACAGCACAGAAGGAGAGATTTCCCCATCCACATCACTTCTGCAGGGAATATGTCAGTTTTTTTTCATTCTACCTGCTGGCTGAACAAAAATGTTCCATGTCCAACTCTAATCTCAATGCCAAGATGGCCACAAACTATGAACCATTCTAAGTGTCCAGTTCTAGGAGATTGGCTTATTTTTATTTAGAAAATATTCTATAAAATCAAAGTAGTTTCTCTTTAATATTTAAAATAATGTGGATAACATGCAGTAATAAGATTGCTGTACACCGGACTTACCCAGATCTTTAACAAAAGTTTTCATATGAAGATTCAAGGGGTGTATCACTGACCCTCCAGCCTCATAGTGGTTCCCTTCCATCTCAATCGTAGCCAGTCGCCCACCCACATTATCCTTCTCAAATACATCAATGTGGATATCTTTCCCAAACTTCTGACGTAAGAAATAGGCTGCCGATGTTCCTCCAATTCCGGCTCCAATAACCGCTAAAAGAAAAAATATTTAATTATTCTGTATCAAAAAAGTTAAACTTTACACATACGCTCATTTAGGGGGTCTATTTATTAAAAGAAAATGGTTATTTTTATTGACTGTCAGGTCCACCTAGTGACCATAATGCATTATTAAATACTGCAATCAGGAAAACGCTGCATTACGGCCACTAGATGGCAATGGCAATTATAGGATATAAATAGAAATTAACATTTTACACATATTAGCCACATTACAGGAATTACTCGCAACAGTTGTTTAAATGAATCACTTGCATGGCATTTGTTTTTAATAGACCTCTTAAAGCAAGCTCTATTAGCAGAGAGTGTGTAACTAATATAGATGCTGCTTTTCCAAATGTATATGTTGTAACTGTAAACAAATGGATGATGTGATTAGAAAGCAATGGAGCAATAAGGTCAGCTCACAGTATAATGCTTTTCTCCTCTAGGCACAGAGTGTGTCAGGCTGCCAGTGGGTGTTTTTTGGGACAGGTACCTGGCATTGGGAAGAATAATGTAGCAGTGATCACACAGTGGTGTATCTGTGGAGACTGTAGGCACTCAGGCACCATAGGGCTCCTTTCCCTTGGCACCCTTAGGGAGGCACAATGTGGCCCCAGCGTTTGAATGGGCTGCTGCAACAGACTCAAGGGGCAGGGTGGCATCTGCAGAGTACAGCGAATTACACTGCGGTTTATTTTTTTTTAAAACTTTATTTGAAGAGGCAGTTCATTCAGGTCACTGCACAGTAATGTGGAGACATGCGGTACCATCCAGTGTGTTGTCTAAAAATACCGACATGATGCTCATCACACAAGAAAACATGTTTCTCCGTGCCCTAGCAATGATCTATGTTGATCCAGCAAAAAAACTCACCAGGTCACAGATAGTGTAAACGAACCCTTAGTTCCACTTTATACTGGATGAGGGCGACATCAGATCACTATGTTCCTCCTGACCGCTAAGGCCTTAACAGTCACAGAAAAACTATTTGGGCCACACAAATACCCCTTGATTGATGGTATCTCATGCAAACCGCAAATGGCCCCATCAAGGTACACAATTGCCTTTTTCTGCCATTATTATAGTCTGGTGCCAACATGTACCCCAGTTCTGGCAACCATCGCTTCCGACCCATGTTGGGAGCACACCTGTACCCCAGTCCTGTTGACTACCTCCTCCGCCCCACTTCTGGCGACTACCTGTACCCGGCCACTGCCTCCACCCCACGTCAGGTGACCGCCGCCACACGTCGGATGCCCACCTGTACCACAATCCTGTTGACTACCTCCTCCACCCCACTTCTGGCAACTACCTGTACCCAGCCACCGCCTCCACCCACGTTGGGCAACCACCACCACATGTCGGGTGACCACCTGTACCCCAGTCCTGTTGACTACCTCCTCCGCCCCACGTTTGGTAACCACTGCCTCCGCCCCACTTCTGGCAACTACCTGTACCCGGCCACCACTTCCACCCCACGTCAGGCGACCACCTGTACCCCAATCCTGTTGACTACCTCCTCCAGCCATCTGGTAACCACTGTCTCCGCCCCACTTCTGGTGACTACATGTACCTGACCACCGCCTCCACCCCACATTGGACAACCACCGCCACACATTGGTTGACCACCTGTACCCCAGTCCTGTTGACTACCTCCTCCACCCCATGTCAGGCAAGCAACACATCCAACCCACTTCTGGTGACTACCTTCGCCCTACGTCTGGTGACTAACACCTCTACCCCAGGTTGGGAGCCATTGCTCCATGATGGCCACCATCATATAAGAAGCCCTAACACATCACAGGTACAGTCAGGTCCATAAATATTGGGACATTGACACAATTCTAACATTTTTGGCTCTATACACCACCACAATGGATTTGAAATGAACAAGATGTGCTTTAACTGCAGACTGTCAGCTTTAATTTGAGGGTATTTACATCCAAATCAGGTGAACGGTGTAGAAATTACAACAGTTTGCATATGTGCCTCCCACTTGTTAAGGGACCAAAAGTAATGGGACAATTGGCTTCTCAGCTGTTCCATGGCCAGGTGTGTGTTATTCCCTCATTATCCCAATTACAATGAGCAGATAAAAGGTCCAGAGTTCATTTCAAGTGTGCTATTTGCATTTGGAATCTGTTGCTGTCAACTCTCAAGATGAGATCCAAAGAGCTGTCACTATCAGTGAAGCAAGCCATCATTAGGCTGAAAAAAACAAAACAAACCCATCAGAGAGATAGCAAAAACATTAGGCGTGGCCAAAACAACTGTTTGGAACATTCTTAAAAAGAAGGAACGCACCGGTGAGCTCAGCAACACCAAAAGACCCGGAAGACCACGGAAAACAACTGTGGTGGATGACCGAAGAATTATTTTCCTGGTGAAGAAAACACCCTTCACAACAGTTGGCCAGATCAAGAACACTCTCCAGGAGGTAGGTGTATGTGTGTCAAAGTCAACAATCAAGAGAAGACTTCACCAGAGTGAATACAGAGGGTTCACCACAAGATGTAAACCATTGGTGAGCCTCAAAAACAGGAAGGCCAGATTAGAGTTTGCCAAGTATTAAAAAGTGAAAGTTTGATTTATGATTATTATTCTGTCCCATTACTTTTGGTCCCTTAACAAGTGGGAGGCACATATGCAAACTATTGTAATTCCTACACCATTCACCTGATTTGGATGTAAATACCCTCAAATTAAAGCTGACAGTCTGCAGTTAAATCACATCTTGTTCTTTTCATTACAAATCCATTGTGGTGGTGTATAGAGCCAAAAATGTTAGAATTGTTGATGTCCCAATATTTCTGGACCTGACTGTAGGTATTTTTGTTTGCATGGTGTCTGGTGAACCTTGTACACACTATGGCCTCCTTACACCTCCCCCCGTCATGTTCTTCTACTTGTCCCAACACCCCCGCCGTTTCCTCCCCACATACAGTGCGGTTCTCACCTATCCTGTTCGGAGGGTAGCGGAGCTCCTGTGTCGCTGCAACCCTCAGGCTGCACAATAGCAGTCCGCTCAGCATACGGCGGAGGGCAGAGGAGACATACATGCTGATTCTCTGGTCACTTCCTAGGTGTTCTGCGCATGCGCCGAATCCGCGCTCCCTCCCACGTGCGTCTCTCCGATGTGTGGGTAAAATACAGGCTGGTGTTGTGTATTAGGGAGGGGTATACTTATCATATATAATGAGCGGACAATGTGACAGGATTTGGAATAAGAGCTGAATGATAATAAATCCAGGAGAGATGAGCAGGAGATGAGGGCTGTGAGGGGAGTCCTGTAAGAGACCTTTGAACAGATTATCTGGTCATGTAGTACATGAGATAGGGTTGAGGGGTCACCTAGAGAGGAACACCCAGCTCTTGTCTTACTATACATTTAATGCGGAAGTTCACCCAAAAGAGGAAGCTCTGCTTCTTTGCATCCTCCCCCTCCATGGCCACATTTTGCACTTTTTGTGGGGGAGGGGGTCACGGTAGAATTGCCACCTCATCCCTCTAAACCCGAACACATTAATTACACCGGTTCTGAGGCTGATTTAATGCAGATAATGTACTAGGAGAGTTTAATTACCACCTTAATCAGCCTAGGAACCTGTGTAATGTGTTCAGTTTTACACGGATGAGGTGGCAACCCTAGGCCCCTGCGATCTGAGCCGAAGTTTGGCCTCTTCTTTCTCCTGCAGCCAGTTGGAACACTTCACAGGTCCCAGAAGACTGCGGGACCTTTCACAAAGTGCAGCTCACTTCACACATGCGCAGTAGGAAACCAGCTGTGAAGCCACAAAAATTCACTGCCAGTTTCCTTTCCTGAATATGCCAGCACCCAAAGCTGATTAACCCCTTCACGTCTGAGGGGAAAACAAATCTTAAAGGCTAAGTGCAATTTTTCAACTTTGACAGGTGTTAGTAAAACTGTACATATCAACTGCTTTGTACATCCAGGTGAATTATACCGCATTTTTTTCCAGGACAAATTGAGCTTTAATTTGGTGGTAAATGGTAATGGATAGCTCCTGATATTTTTTTTTATTATCAAAGGAAAACTGGTCTAAAATTATAAAACAAAATCATTTTTTTTTCATTTAGCTGTGTGTTTTTTTGTTATTACCATAGCCTACCACCAAAGAACGACTCAAAATAAAATTTCCAGCTCTTGACGATTGCAGCAATACCATATATGTGTATGTTACTTGTTGTTTATACCTGTACTACAGCCCAGAAACAATAGTGCGCATTTGTTTTTTTTACCTAAAACACACTGACACCAATTTTTTTTAAAAAAAAATTTGACCCAAACACTAACCCTGGCACTGAACTAGAGCAAACCTTGATCTAGGTATTTCTTTTTCAGTATTTATTTATTTATCTTTTTTTTCCCTCTCTGCGAGGAGAGAGATGCAATGTATCTCTCTCCTTCATTCAGAGAGAAAAAAAAACAAGGGGGGGGCAGGCTTCACAGTGACTGATCACTGTGATAGCCAATCAGAGGCTATCACAGCGATTATGTGGCCTGGAATCAGGAGTCCTGGGTCCCAATCATTAGAATGGGACCCGGGGTTCTCACTGACACCCCAGTCTTTGTGCTGGGAGCACACTATGTGGCGGGCTCCCACCACAAAGACAGGTATGCAAATATACAGCTCCGCGGAAAATAGCCCAGTTCTGTGAGGGCGCATATTTGTGTGGCATCAGCGACAAGGGATTAACGAATCAGCTTAGCTGAGGACATCATTGGATCCCTGCACAGGTAAGTGTCCTTATATTAAAGCAGTAGTAAAACCACACCTAAAAAAAAAAAAAAATCCCCTGCAAGGTAATGTCATAATGTGTTATTATGCGTCACATAATGAAGGACTTACCTTAAAGTGGTTGTAAAGGCTGAAGGTTTTCTACCTTCATGCATTCTATGTATGAAAGTAAAAATCCTTCTGGGTGCAGCAGTGTCCCCAGCCCCCCTAGTTCTTACCTGAGCCCCATCATGATCCAGCGATGTGAATGACAGCATTGACTGTCCTGGGTCTTTGCCTCATTGGCTGAGACAGCAAGCGGGAGCCAGTTAGCCAATGAGCAGAGAGGAGACAGGGCCAAGCCGTGGCTCCATGTGTGAATAGCTGCTTGCTGTGGGGGCACCCAGCAGGACGGAGAGGCCAAGAGAGCCTGCGGGGGACCCGAGAAATGGAGAATTCCAGGCTGTGCAAAACCACTGCACACAGCAGGTAAGTATAGCATGTATGATATTTAAAAAAAAAATACCTTTAGAATCGCTTTAAAAACAGTCCTCCAGCAGCACGCTGTCACCGCTGCAGAGGCTTCCATCTTCACCCAATATTCTGGGATCTTCAGGTTCTGGCTGGCCAAGCCACAGTGACGTCATTCCTGCGCATGCGAGTCCTGGGCCATGGCACAGTGCTCTGAATGAATGGCACGGATATGTCGTTCCTTCAGAGTGCATGTGCCAGCTCTCAAGAAGAGCGAATATCTCCTAAACAGGGCACATTGAGGAGATACTCGTTTTACCTACAGGTAAGCTTTATTATAAAAGTGTACAAAAATAGTTTACTACCCCTTTAAAAGTCAGCAGCTACAGTATTTGTAGCTGCTGGCTTTTTATTTTTTGTGGGGAACCAGGAGCTCCACTTAAAAGTGATTCTAAAGGCTGTAAGTTTCTTTTTAATAACAAACACAAACATGTTATACTTACCTATGAGCAGTTTTGCACAGAGCAGCCCCGATTCTCTCCTTTTTAGGCTGCATTCACACTTGAGCATTTTGTAGCTTAACCCCTTCATGCCAGCTGCACGCAAATGTGCATCCTCCCGGCGTCTCGGTGTAGACACTGAGCGGCCACACATTTGCGTTCAATATACAAAATACATATGTGTGAGAGCAAACACCCTGCTGGTACTCACCGAAAGGTCCCGGTCTCCTCTTCCGATCGGGACCTTTCCCGATCATGTGACCGCCGTGACGTTGTGTCACAGGACACTAAGCCCCACCCACCTCCCAGTGCAGATACTCCTTGTCACGTACCTGGGTAGTGAGCCTGACGTGAAGAGGCAGACCTTCCGTACAACCCCGGCTCGGGAACCGCTGAGAGTGGGACAGCGGTCGCAGGAGCTCGGTGGGGTAAGAGGGCCTGGGATCTGTCTGGTGAGAGTGGTTGGATCCGTGTAGGATGGATGGATGCAGATGCACCGTGTAGCGAGAAGCAGAGTCAGACAACCCGGGTTTGGTATTGGAAGAGACAGATCAGACATAAACAGCAGGCAGGAGAGTAGTCAGGTCACAGGCCAGGTTCAGCAGCAGGAGGTCAATCGATCAGAAGCAGGCAGAAGAGTAATCCAAAGACAGGCCAGGGGTCAGGGCAGAAGACGATCAATCAGTAGTCAGAAACAGGCTGGATTTGGCAACAGGATAATCACAGGAGTCAGGAAACACAAGCAGGGGAAAAGACCATAGGGCAACTAGATAACCGCAGCAGCCAGTTTAAACAGCCAGCATAAGTGAAAGGTGCGCGCCCGCGTGTGCGCATGTCCAGGCACCCGCATATCTGTTTGTCTTGCCAGAGTCCTGCGCATGCGCATATTCTTGCGCCGTGGCGCTTCTCTTGTACAATTGGAAGACCTTTCCTGACACTCCTCTTCACGCCGGCATGAAGGGGTTAAAGCTCAAAGCTCCAAAAAAGCTCAAACTCAAAAAATCAATTGTTCTCTATGGTGCCTGTTCACATCTGATCACGCAAACAGGCACCAGAGAGAACAACTGATTTTTTAAGTTTCATACACAGAGCTCAGCCCCCCTCCTCCCCCATTTTCCTCATTGGCTTATTGGCTGTGATTGGCAGCAGTTGGAGGCAAAGGCTCCCACTGCTGTGTGACCCAATGGGGAGAGAGAGACTCAAGAGAGCTTTGGTTTTCATGCACATCGCTGGATCAGTATGTATAAGGGGGGTCTGAGGGGGGAACTGCATCCAGGAGATTTTTTTACCTTAATGCATAGAATGCATTAAAAAGTGAAAAAACCTTCTGCCTTTAACACCACTTTAACCATTTGCCCTCCAAAAGATTTACCCCCCTTCATGACTAGGCCATTTCTTGCTATACCCGCGCTGCACTGTTTTAACTGACAATTGTGCAGAATGAAGGGGCCGCAGCTGGGTGAAGATGATGAGATTGCTGCCAGGAAGCTGATGAGATTTGTGCCAGGAAGCTGATGAGAGCAGAGGAACAACGCAGCATACACTGCAATATCGCAGGCCTGTTGGAGAGACATTTGTTCTGTTCAGAGTCACCAGCGTATGAAAAGCAGTCCCCCGGGTCGGTAAGATCGTGCACGCACCTCATTTCAGTGTTGGCATCTATAGACTGCTACCAGGCCTATAATTATGGTCTCTTTGTGTCTTTGTGTCAGGCCACAAGTGTTGTTACTGATTATTGGAAGGACTCCACAACTTAAAGTGACATTTCACATTGGAGAGCTGATAAAATCCTGCAAACTCAAGCCAGCCTGGTATTTTGCTCAGAAGGAATACTCAGGCACGTGCTACAGGACCAGTTATGGGAGGGGGAATACTGTAGATTGGTGTAAGATTGTAAACTGTTGTGCTGCACCGCAGGCTAGCCCATACCGTACACAAATATACTGATTTTTGCTCTTTTAGGGTAATAACGGGTAAGGTGTGGCAGCTTATTTGTGCCCGCCAGTAGGTAAATTACTTCACTTTCTACCTTCATCCATCAGAAGGCGCCGTGCTGTGCAGCACAAGGGTCTCAGCCTTTGGGCTGGGTGTATGTAAATTTATTGTATGTTTCCAGCATTTGTGGTTGTGTTTATTTGCCACATCTAAGTAAAATTCTGTTGTGGCAAAAGCTGGTGTTGAGGTTTGCTTTCCTCGTTCGTGATTTCACTATATCCTGGGGAGCCCACCCTGGTACACGGCTTACACATACACATTTCAATAAATGATCAGTTTTGTTTCCAATACATACTGTATCTATGTTTCCATCATGTAATCTCATAATCTGATTGTTTGAAATATGAATCTATTCATGAACAAAGTATCTCAGTGCTGCCGTTGATGCAAATG